AAGTTGCTGGGAATCACAAGCAGGGAGAGTGTGTTTGCATACGAGACCTGCTTTTGGGTTTCCAAGAGGCAACTGACTGGTCACTGTGAGAACAGGATGCTGAACCAAACAGGACTTTGGCCTGATCCAGCAAGGCTTTTCTTATGTTCAAGATGGTGATATGGGTCACAGGCTAGGCTTTATTTTCTCAATGGGAAAAGCAGCCATTACTTAATCCTCCCAGAATCCTAGGTGTGTAGCCTGGTATCATAGCACCTGGGACTTACACAGCATATGATCTCCATACTGGAAAAAAGTCTACAAGCTGATCTCATAGCTACAATATTGACCCTCGTTTCTGCACCTTTTATTTTCCTCACCCCCACCACGCATATTGGTAGATGAAGAGCTCTGGAGAAAGCTTGCAACATTTCTGTGACTTTTTGGTTGGTACTAATAGCTATAAGGGACGCGGGTGGCGCTGTGGGTAAAAGCCTCAGCGCCTAGGGCTTGCCGATCGAAAGGTCAGCGGTTTGAATCCCCATGGCGGGGTGCGCTCCCGCTGCTCGGTCCCAGCGCCTGCCAACCTAGCAGTTCGAAAGCACCCCCGGGTGCAAGTAGATAAATAGGGACCGCTTACTGGCGGGAAGGTAAACAGTGTTTCCGTGTGCTGCGCTGGCTCGCCAGATGCAGCTTTGTCACGCTGGCCATGTGACCCGGAAGTGTCTGCGGACAGCGCTGGCCCCTGGCCTCTTAAGTGAGATGGGCGCACAACCCTAGAGTCTGACAAGACTGGCCCGTACGGGCAGGGGTACCTTTTAATAACTATAAATACTTGGGATTGAACTGAAAACTTTTTGGATGGAATACATGCTTTCTATCACTGAGACAGAGTCTCTCCTTAAAAATGATTTATAGTTATATCTTAAGTTGACAGTGCAACATAGGGCATTTATGAATACAACAGAAAGCATGTATACTTAATTTCCATAATTCTCCTTTTGAGTGGGAACAACTGCAGGAAAGGGTATGTGTGCACTGATATGTAGCCAAGAAAATAATAATTATTGGCCTACCTGTGGATGCACACTCAATATTAGTAATTTATGGCATGCTGATGTTGTAAAAGTACCAAGACCTTCCCAATTTATGTACGTAAGTTGGGATGAAATACAAGTGCTGTAAATGCCTACTGTAAATATTGTTCCAAGAGGAACTGAGAGGCTAAATACAATCCTTAAGCACTAGAGACCCACATTCCCATTGCACGTGTGTCAGACGAGGGTAGCAAATGGAACCCCAACCTTGCCTGTCTAGAATCCTCTGAGTTGGGGACAGGATGGGGTCATCAATTATAATTGTACTGAGTTTCAGAAACCTCAGCACAGTAACAGAAATGATTGCCATCCTCTAACCAGCTCCAAGCTACAGGGTGAAATTAAGCTATCTTGGACACAGGTGACAAAGGCACATCAAGAACCTGAGCTGCCTGTCACCAGAATGCGTCCCAATGTTTCTCTCCAAGTCAGGAGGAGAAAGTTGAGGCTAGCTGTTTGGCTGGTGCAGGTGCTTGCAGTATATTTACCCCATATGCAAGTCCTTATCGTTGCCTCTGGCACAGTATAGTCACAAACCACAGTCAAAACAAACACCTCCTTGTAGGGAAGGGAAGCAAGAACTGCAGCTACAAACCAAGTACACTGACCTAGGATTAAGTTCCAATGAACATAATGGAATTTATTTCCAAGCAAACATGTATTGGAGGGAAAGGGTTCTAACAAAAGTAAATTGTGAGTGGCTACCAAGGGCAGCCAACATTTTTGGTTCCATGCTGATCGCTGCTGGTGCAAGCTTGTAACTGGTTATTTACAAGCTTGTAATAAAATAAAATTACTACAAAATTTGCTCAGGGGAATTTATCCTCTAGATACATAGTAACAATGATCTAGGCAAATTCTGTCGCCCCTGCAGCCTACAGTTCACCAGAAATATTTAACATCTTTATTGTAGCCATATTTACACTGCCCTTCTATTAAATTCCCAGGACAGTTTATATAAAAAGAAATACACATCTGGCTTCAATCTGCTCCTATTTTTCCTGCAACATTATACTGGACTGTAAATATCATTAGAAGAATACGTGTCAAGAAAAACTGATGGAGCTCTACCCAAAGCATTATAACTTTATCTACTGCAAACATGCTGATTTAATTCAGTAGGACAAACTGTTTGGCCCCTGATGGGCCTACAAACTGTGCACCTCAGTGTATAGAGTCCCACATAAGGACTCTGATTCATAGAAAGATTTAATCAACACAAGCTATAAAAAAACCTAAAAATCCATTTACCTGATTTCATTCCTTCCATCTTTAGAGTTAACACACTTTGAGTTTTTTGTTGTATGTTTGTGCCTCTCTCTACTGGGCTGTAAATAGTATGAACACAGTTCAAGCACACCTTCAATGACAGCTTCAGTATAGTGGTACCTCGGGTTAAGAACTTAATTCGTTCTGGAGGTCTGTTTTTAACCTGAAAGTGTTCTTAACCTGAAGCACCACCTTAGCTAATGGGGCCTCCTGCTGCCACTGCACTGCCGCTGCACGATCTCTGTTCTCATCCTGAAGCAAAGTTCTTAACCCGATGTAATATTTCTGGGTTAGCGGAGTCTGTAACCTGAAGCGTATGTAACCTGAAGCATATGTAACCCAAGGTACCACTGTATCTGCTTTTAATTCATAACATATATTATTCATTTACAGTGGTGCCTCGCAAGACGAAAAGAATCCGTTCTGGGAGTCTCTTCGTCTAGCGGTTTTTTCGTCTTTCGAAGCAAGCCCATTGACGGGATTAGCGGATTAGCGCTATTAGCGCTATTAGCGGCTTTTAGCGGCTTTTAGCGGCTTTTAGCAGCTTATCAGCTTATCAGATAAGCAGATAAGCGGCTTAGCGACTTATAAAAAGAGGGGGAAAAGGAAAAAAAACAACCCAGGAACTCGCAAGACATTTTCGTCTTGCGAAGCAAGCCCATTGCAGATTCGTTTTGCGAGGCACCTCCAAAACGGAAAACTCTTTCGTCTAGCGAGTTTTCCGTCTTGCGAGGCATTCGTCTTGCGGGGCACCACTGTACTTGCCACACACACACACACCAGCAGCAGCAGCAGCATTAAGAAATATATGACTATGAACAACAGAGATTAACAATACATAAAAACATAACAAATACAGAATACAATACAATAGCTCAGATTACTACATCAACATAACTGGATACCCCTATAGCAGGGGTTCTTAACCTGTGGTCTATGGACTGCGTACAAAAATGATTTTCTGAATGCAATAAAATAAACTGCATGCAAGGTTTTTGTATGTGTTTATGAGCATTTTTCTGGGGACGGGGTCCAAATTTTTAATCAGATTCTCAAAATATATGACCATAAAAAGTTAAGAAATACTGCACTGCAGCATACAGAAGAACTACAGCTGACTTGTAAAGCAGTATGTCACAAAACTATTTTCTGATTCATGTATCTTTACTTACTCATTGCCATATATCTAATGGTGACTTACAATTGGGGTGTTGGATGAACAGAAAAAAACAGTTGAAAAAATAACCAGAAATGATTTCACAAAAAATTGTAATAAAATCCATCCTCATTTATCTGTCTATCCCTTACCCCAAGCCATGTAACCATATCTGAGGACAAATATATTCGGAATATGACATATTAAATTCCTGAACATATATATAGAACAATTAAAACTGATTTGTAAAGCAGTATGTCACCAAATGTAGAAAATTGCAGTCCAATCCAAAATCCAGCCTAGTGTTATCAACATGACTATGTCAGCTAATTTCTTGCAACTAGATTGTCAAACACTTTTTGCATGCTGTATTCCCTAAATAGGATTCATTTTCCATTTGGAGGAGAGTACCTAAAAGTTTAAAAGGGTCACAGGTGGTGCTGTGGGTTAAAACACTCAGCCTAGGGCCACCTGATCAGAAGGTCGGCGGTTCGAATCCCCACAACAGGGTGAGCTCCCGTTGCGCGGTCCCAGCTCCTGCCAACCTAGCAGTTCGAAAGCACACAGTGCAAGTAGATAAATAGGAACCGCTCCAACGGGAAGGTAAATGGCGTTTCCGTGCGCTGCTCTGGTTCACCAGAAATGGCTTAGTCATGCTGGCCACATGACCCGGAAGCTGTACACTGGCTCCCTTGGCCAATAAAGTGAGATGAGCGCCGTAACCCCAGAGTCGTCCGTGACTGGACCTAACGGTCAGGGATCCCTTTACCTTTTACCTAAAAGTTTACAGGATCTTTGTAATAATCCCTATTTTGCAAATATTTAGGATGGTTAAGCAGATTATGAGTGTGCTGAAATGAGCACACAGAGGTAATTTCACCAATATATTAGCTCACCAAAATCCAAATTGCTTTTAACCCGGAACAAATGTTATGATAAACTTTTAAGCTTCCTTTCACATAGATGGGAAATCTTGCATCAAACAAAGGTACTTTTAACTATCTCACAGATTTTTCTTAAAACTATGGCTGAAAAGAACATGGGAAGAAGAAAGAATCAAAGGAGAGTCCAGAAGAAGCTGAGGCTCACCACAAAAGCCTCTAGATTTATCTTCAAACATGATGGTACTGAAAAGTAAGCAGGCTATACATTTTATGTATAAATACACAATATTATATTCTTGATTCGTTTTTATTAAGAAGAATTGTTTCTCACCTTATGATACGATTTAAAAACAAAAACAAAAGCAGACTAGTCATACTTATTACATTATAGTTGAATATTCAAGTTATGTTTACTAAACGAAATACGTAGAGTTTTTGTTTTGCCACCCTTAAAAACAGCCATATGCCAATTCAGAAATATCTGACTTTGCGCATATATATATGCAATCTCAGAGCTTTGATTAAGCCACATTATTAATGCAAAGCTTCAACAGTTGCAATCTAGCCAGCCATCTCAAAGTCAAAGGCTGCGATCCAGAACCTCAGATGCACAACAAGGTTCACATTGCCAATAATGGCAGATGGAGCTCTATGCCGCTTGTTCCCCTTTCACAGCTGGCAAAGGGGAAGTCCTTAAGCACACAGCTACCTAGATGGATCATATAACCAACTGGGCAGTAAGTGTGCCAGTTTATCCCAAACAAACAGAAATTTTCATTTAAAAAAAAAAATATATAGCATATCTCCCTAGGATATAAGCTTATTTAGGTAAAGCTCTGTTTAGTTTAACTAAATTTATAATTTTCTAAATTATAAATACATGACTGTGAAACACCAAATTATAAAATATATGCAAGCTGAGTATTGCTGTTTTGGCACTGAACGCAGATAAATAACCCAGTTCTCAGGAGCACTTGACTGTATTCTACCCTAAACTGGTTTTTCCATGACACTTGCAACTACAGTGGTACCTCGGGTTACAGACACTTCAGGTTACAGACTCCACTAACCCAGAAATAGTACCTAGGGTTAAGAACTTTGCTTCAGGATGAGAGCAGAAATCACGTGGTGGCGGCGCTGCAGCAGCGGGAGGCCCCATTAGCTAAAGTGGTACCTCAGGTTAAGAACAGTTTCAGGTTAAGAACAGACCTCCAGAACAAATTAAGTTCTTAACCCAAGGTACCACTGTAGAGTGAAATTTGGTGCAAGTGATGCAAGCCAACAAAACTCACATAAAAAGATCTGGAATTCACATGTGGTCAGAAAAATAGTCTATGTTGCAACCCTCAAAGCAATTATTCAAAAGTTCTGTCAATGAATCCAACAGGACTACATCAAAGCTGCACCACTTACAGAAACTACCATATTTATTTTACCTTTCTTTTAGCAATTATTTCGCCTCACAATTTACTCACATACAAGTCAAATTTTGAAAATTCAATTAAATTTAAAACATTTTACAGTGGTGCCCCGCAAGACGAATGCCTCGTAAGACGAAAAACCCGCTAGACGAAAGGGTTTTCCGTTTTTCGATGCGCTTCGCAGGACGAATTTCCCTATGGGCTTGCTTCGCAAGACGAAAATGTCTTGCGAGTCTTGAGATTTTTTTCGCTCCCCCCCCCCTTTTTCTAAGCCACTAAGCCGCTAATAGCCTTTTAGCCGCTAAGCCGTTAAGCCTTTAATAGCCGCTAAACCGCTAATAGCGCTAATCCGCTAAGCCGCTAATAAGGTTGCTTCGCAAGACAAAAAAACCACTAGACGAAGAGACTCGCAGAACGGATTAATTTCGTCTTGGGAGGCACCACTGTAATGGAATGAAATTAGATCTATTATAGTTAATGTCAGTTATTAGAGGGTAGTTTATAGGAAATTTTCAGGCTCAAAACATATTATTATTGTTGTTATTAATTAAATTTCTATACCACCCTTCATCAGAAGATCACAGGGCGGTTTACAATATAAAAACATACACATTTTTTATTTCCTTGAGATCTATTAACACAAACAAAACAGATAAGAAAAAGTATAAGATACCTTGTGAAGGTTATGCTCATAAGTATAACATTAAATCAGTTCTGCAAGGGACACAAATTACTTGCATAAAAATTGCTAGTGTAAATAGATGACATCTCCTACTTAAGACAAAAATCAGAACTCCCTAGAGAGAAAGAAAACAATTGCTTTAGGAACCCAAAGCAATTAATTGATTGGAAGGGTTGATAGGTAATCAATTTGTAACCTGAATGAGGAACAGAAAAATCTAGACCCATAGAAATGCTTGCTCAATTGTCAGTTTGATCATTCAAGTATTTAGAAATTTTCTAATTTAAGGATTAAAAATATGCAATCATTAAACTTCAGCAGTGCATAAAAATCTATTAAATTCATAAAATATAAAGCACTGAACTCATCAATATCTAACTTTAAAAATCCAATTTAAGAAATCCTCCAGTTAGCTGAATATTGGGTTGTTTGGATGAATACTAAGAAGGCAGAATCCCATAGGTTAAGTGGGAGGCAAGAAATGGTAGGTAGACACCAGCAGGGGGGTTGGAGTGGGGTAGCGAGATCAAAATTTTGGTTGTCCTGTTTCTATGACAATATTACTTTGCTTTGAACTGCGGAGGGTAAGAATTCCCCCAGTTGTCTAGATTTCATGTTGTGACTATGATAGCAAGCTTTTAAAAACAACAACACAGAGATAGATACCATATAACAAAGCAACTAGTCAGTTTGTTATAAAATTTTACCTTCTAAGAATTACACAGCACAGGTTCTGTAGGTTAGTGATGAGGAATTTATAGCCTAGGAGGCTCCCAGAAAAAAATCAAGCTACCCTATGGTTATTGAAAGCCCACTTTTTGCTCTCTAGACCACTCCTCTGGAATTTCTTCCTCTTTGAGGAAAAAAAACATGTGACTGCTACATGGTGAGTCTCAGGGGAACAAACTTTGCAGTGGGCCAGTAGGGGCAGGGGAAGACCCCGTGAGGGAGGACAGAAAGTGGGAAAGAAAAAACAGAAATGGGGTAGGGAGAGGAAGAGAGAGAGAGAGAGAGAGAGAGAGAGAGAGAGAAAGCTGCAGAATCCTGCAAACTCCATCCACTTTAGCCCTGCCTACTGCTGGTGTCATACAGGCTCCCAACATACTACACCTGAGGAAAGGAGGACCACGACAGAAGAAAGGTTCTCCACCCTTGCTGGAGATAGGCAGTCACCTGCTGCTGGGATGCAAGCTCCATAACAAAGCAACTTGGAAGTGTGTGATAAATTTGGAACCTGATGACCCAGCTGGCTAACCATGTCCTTACAACCATTTTAAAAAGTCCCCAAGGGGCCAATGGGGGGGGGGTCCAACAAGGGGAGGTCTTGCTGTCTGGGCAGCCCAGGATCTCCATACACACTACCTAGGCTTGTACCTTGGAGAGGACACTTCAGAGGCACACTCCTCTGTCTCGAGACAAATGGATGCTAACAACTCTATCACTGGTTTTTCTTACACCTATTCAGTTGCTGTTCGTGTATTTCAAATCCCAAATACAGTGGTACCTCCCAAATACAGTGGTACATACACTTCAGGTTACACACGCTTCAGGTTACAGACTCCGCTAACCCAATAGTGCTTCAGGTTAAGAACTTTGCTTCAGGATGAGAACAGAAATCATGCGGCGGCGGCGTGGCAGCAGCAGGAGGCCCCATTAGCTAAATGGTGCTTCAGGTTAAGAACAGTTTCAGGTTAAGTACGGACCTCCGGAACGAATTAAGTAGTTAACCCGAGGTACCACTGTATCAGCTGTTATATTCACCAAACACGTATCACTACCTGCAACTGTAACTTTATGACAGTAAGGGAGGGAAGAAACAGTGTTCCTCAACCAAAACAGCAATACAGGTGCCTGGTTGGAACCCTACTGTGGGCAACACATTCCTCACGCAGGCCTTCTAAATACCAAAATAGGGGAGGATGCTTAAGAGTCATGGTGGCTCCAACGTAAGGTTAACATATGGTTTCTGCTGAATTTTGAGGGCTATAGCATCTATTTTCACCAACTATTAGTGTTCAGTAAATTGTTTCAGATTAGGAAAGTCATTTTATTCAGGCTTTTTAAAGAGCTTGTACTTTTTAAAAACTAAAATAAAATATTAACAAGCTATGTCAAACTTGGCACTATGTTTGCTTATAAAACAGCAGCAATGTGTCAGAGCCACAGGCAAGAGAACAAATTTGGGAAGATTCAACAGTTTTGGAAAGGTGGTTTCTAAAAAGGACTGCCTTACCAAAAAATCAATACACTTCTCCCATAGGTTCATGATGCAAAATTCTATAATCAAGGCTTGTAGATTTGTAATTATGGTATGTCAGCTACATTTAAACAAGAGTGTTAAAAGATTGTTAAAGTTAAACTAACACAATTGCAATGTGAATTGTCTTAGTCTCATTCTAATCTACTGGTGTCACTTTCATTTAATCAGAGGGAAACTATGGGCAAATGTCAGTGCTATTTTCACATGCCCCAACATACTGTGTTCACAGCAGTTTTTAAAGCCACTACAATTTTGAAACAACTAAAGAATAACCATTTCGGAAAATTCATTTATTTGCACATATATTGCTTAAGCTTGAATTTAGCTAAGGAAGATTCAAACAGAGTCAACAGCTTTTATGTCAGCCTAGCAAAAATATTACAATAATTGCAGTTACTGTACATAGGTAACTTTTAACAAAGGCTAGCTATGAGACTTATGAAGACAATCTGTGAATAATGTCTCAATCACAATTTAGCATCTGCATACTAAAGGTTCAAGTGCCCCTTCAATGACAATAATGTAATATCTGGTTCAGATATGGGTGAAGGATAACTTTGTGGCTGCTGTACTGAAATTTACCCTTTACGCACACAAAAACACCTGAAGTATGTGTGCAATCTAGCACTGTGGAAGAACACACAGAGACTTCTAAAAGTGAATGAAATCAAATTTAAACTAGTTATTTTTAAAATGTTTGTTAAATTTTAGGAGGGGTGCTAGCTCTACTGATGTTTGCCACTTTGTTGCATGTGTGTTTTAAAGACAGACAAGTATCTGTACTAGAGAGATGGCAAGAGTGCACTCAGCCTCAAGCTCACCAAGGCCTTTATTATTTTTTAACACTAATAGGGTGGCAAAGTGCCCCACATACTGCACATCCAGAGATTAGGCAGCCCTTGCCAGCAGACTCACAATCTAATAGACATGATACAAAAAGATAAGGGAATGAAAAAGCAAGCAAGCATTGGAGCAGGTGCTCTTTCACTAGCTGATGGATGGAACCAGGTTTGTATGCCCCTTACCATGATGATCTCCTGAAAGAGGGCATAGCCTCCCAGCAGCCCATAGGTCATCTGGCTGGTGGCAGAGGCCAGACTGTACCTCCCTTCGGCTCAGTAGCCCCAGGTAACTGGCGGCTGAAACACAGTGCTCTTTCACACAATGAGAAATAGCAAGTTCTCTGTTGTTGCTTCTACTCTGGCAGATAATCGCCAAAATGGAATGTCGCGTTGCCACTGACACCTCTTAGACTACATAATTGTGCGAGCTGAAGATCGCCATGATGTGCTCCTTACCAGAGCTATGACGAGTGACAACAACCGCTGGAAAGATCACTGATTAATATGTTCCACGATGGCTATCAAGATTATACCTTAATGCAGGCTTCAAGGAAGGAAACCAAGGCACAAAATGAACACTCAAGCCCTTCAAGATCCTATTAAGCGGGATTGCCTCCAAATGACTCTTAAGGATCATCTGCTTTTGGAGTTCCCTGATAACATCAAGGAACACTGGTCCAAGTTAAAACATCCATTATTGCTGCCTACAAACAAACTATTGGATACCAAACCAAGAAACACCAGGACTGGTTTGATGAAAATGATAGTGAGATTGAGACTGAACACATTATTGAAAAGAAAAGGAAGGCCTCTCAGATCTGGCAAAGAGATAGAAACTGCACCACTAAGAAAAAAATCCTATGCCAACATTAAGGCTGAGGTTCAAAGAATAATAATAATAATAATAATAATAATAATAATAATAATAATAAATTTTATTTATATCCCGCCCTCCCCAGCCAAAGCCAGGCTCAGGGCGGCTAACAACAAACAAATAATCAAACAATCAAATAATCCAACATTCTAAAACATTTCATTATAAAAATTAATTAAAATCAAATTAATGGCAACCGTTAAGCAAAGTTCTGTGCACGTTGCCAGAGGAGGGAGTCAGGCTGGGCCCTGACCAAAGGCCTGGTGGAACAACTCTGTCTTGCAGGCCTTGCGGAAAGATGTCAGGTCCCGCAGGGCCCTAGTCTCTTGTGACAGAGCGTTCCACCAGATTGGAGCCGCAGCCGAGAAAGCCCTGGCGCTAGTTGAGGCCAGCCTAACCTCTCTGATGCCTGGGACCTTCAGGATGTTTTTATTTGCAGACCGTAGGTTCCTCTGTGGGGCATACCAGGAGAGGCGGTCCCGTAGGTACGAGGGTCCTAGGCCGTATAGGGCTTTAAAGGTTAAAACCAGCACCTTAAACCTGATCCTGTACTCCACTGGGAGCCAGTGCAGCTGGTATAGTACCGGATGAATGTGATCTCGCAGCGAAGACCCCATAAGGAGTCTCGCCGCGGCATTCTGCACCCGCTGGAGTTTCTGGGTCAGTCTCAAGGGCAGCCCCACGTAGAGTGAGTTACAATAATCCAGTCTGGAGGTGACCGTCGCGTGGATCACAGTGGCTAGGTCAGGGCGAGAGAGATAAGGAAAGAAGAACCAGAGAGCTAAAGAACACCTGGTGGATAAAAAAAAAAGCTCAAGAGACCAGCACTTAGCTGACACTCATGATACACATAGTTTCTTTAAAGCCACAAAGACCATCTATGGGCCAATAAATCATGGCATATGCCCCCTACGCTCAACAGACAGTACCACACTTCTAAAAGATAAAGAAACTATTGCACTGCGCTGGAAAGAACATTACAAACATCTCAACTTCTCACAAATTCCGAAAAAACAAATTAGAGATGAGCTTGCAGTATCTCCAAATCTGAGAGTTGTGTACAGGTATTAACCAAATGAAAAACAACAAAGCCAGTGGACCTTATGGAATACCTGCCGAAGTCTTTAAAGTGGGTGGATTTGAACTTACACAACAACTTCACAAGCTCATCAAAAAATTCTGGGAGAAAGAGGAGATCCCAGCAGACTTTAGGGATGCCAAAATTATCAACCTTTTTTTAAAAAGGTGACAGAATGGATTGTGGAAACTATCGAGGCATCTCTTTATTAGCTGCAACCAGAAAAATTCTTGCAAAGATCTTAGCAAATAGTCTCCTAACTATATCCGAGGCTATCCTTCCTGAATCCCAAAATGGTTTTCAACCTTCTAGGGGGACAGTGGATATGATTTTCACTGCTCGACTGTTCAAGAAAAATGCAGAGAGCAAAACCAACCCCTGTATATAGCATTTATTGACCTGACTAAGGCCTTCAACACTGTAAATCATAATGCCCTGTGGATTGTCCTTCTGAAAATCAGCTGCCTAGATAAATTTGTAAACAACCTTTGCTCCTCCCTGATAATATGACAGCAACAATTGCAGATAACAATGGCTATCAAAGCAAACGATTCACAGTGGGATCAGGTATTAAACAGGGTTGTGTTATTGCCCCAACTCTATTATTTTCATAGCCATGATCCTACACATTGTTGAAGGGAAACTCCCCACTGGGGTAGAAATCAGGTATTAAACAGATGGAAAGCTGTTTAGGCTGAAAGCAAAGAGTAAGGTCACCATAACTTCCATCATAGAGCTTCAGTATGCTGATGACAATGTAGTGTGGGCACACTCAGATGATGACCTCCAAACCATCCTAAATATCTTTGCAGCAGCTTACGAAAAACTTGGCCTATCGCTCAACATCCAAAAAACCAAAGTGCTGCACCAACAAACACAAAACAACCCCTCTGCAGCACCACAAATCCAACTCAATGGTGTAACATTGGAAAGTGCTGATCACTTCTCTTACCTGGGCAGCTATCTTTTTCCACAAGGACCGACATTGATGCCAAAATCCAGCCTCACCTGAGCTCTGCAAGTGCAGCTTTCTTCCAATTGCAGAGTGTTTGAGGACCGGGACATTCACAGGGAAATCAAAATGCTTGTTTACAAATCTATTGTACTACCAACCTTACTGTAAGCTTGTGAAACAAGGACCACTTATAAATACCATCTCCAACTCCTCAAAAGATTCCATCAACGGTGTCTCCGAAAATTTTTACACATCACTTGGGAAGACAGGCGAACTAATGCCAGTGTACTGGAAGAAGCAAAGATCACCAGTGTTGAAGCAATGATTCTGCAACATCAACTTCGTTGAACTGGTCATGTTGTTCAGATGCCTGATTATCATCTTCCAAAGCAACTACTCTATTCCGAACTTCAAAATGGAAAGCGTAATGCTGGTGGTCAACAAAAGAGGTTTAAAGACTCTCTCAAGGCAAATCTAAAAAAATGTAGCATAAACGCTGACAGCTGGGAAACACAGGCTCAACTCCAACTCAGGACGAAAGGGAGAAACGTGCTAAGAGGAAGGCACGTTTGGCAAACCTTCACCATGATCTACTCTCGCCTGGAAACTTATGTCCCCACCATGAAAAGACATGTGGATCCAGAATTGGCCTCCACAGTCACTTACGGACTTACTGTTAAGACCGTGTTCATGGAAGCCAATCTTACTCAGCTACAAGTGATCGCCAAAGAAGAAGGTGGCTACCTTTTCCTTCCTTGAAAAGTACATAAATCTGAAGGTGAGTGTTGGAAGAGTGGCACTCATTCCCATTTCCTCTTTCAGCTCTGTGTTTCTTAAGGTTCTGATTGGCAACTCAAGACTCAGGGGGTGGGGGGAAGAGGACAGAATATGAGAGAGAAGTTTATCATGTGAACACTCACAAATACTCCCCAAGCCAGTAAAGTGGAACCCCTTTCAGTTGCATAATTTTTCATATGTCCCCACCCCTACTTTCCACCATCAGATTGCAGATGACTACTGTCTCCACTGACTGAAAAGTATAAATCACAGATATGGTGCTTTTCAGCACTGTCAAGGTACAAAATAATGAATCCAATGCCCCTCAAATCAACCCTCAAATTGAAATATGTGTTCTGTGATTTGTGGTGGTGGTTTTATTGTCACCCTATACAGGGAACTTGAATATACTGAAGAATGCTTAATAAGATCTAAAGCACACCTTAAAACAAAAACCAGGAGTGACTGAATTTTCAAAAATCAATATTTTAAACAACTCATATTTTAATACCATGCATTTTTATTAGATATGCAAGAACTATCAGAAGTTCTCAGACTGAACTTGCAAATCTTATTTACACTTACTTTGAAGTGAACCACCAGGGGATTTAATTCCAAGTAGTTATGAATAGAACTGCACTTCTCAAATTGTTTCAAAATTCAATCATTGTCCCATCAGACACACAAACTCTTGAGCATTAAGCAAATTACTTAGCCACTTTTTACCAGTCTAGAAAAAGAACGGTGAAATAATACTAGCTTCTCAAATTAGTTTTGTGAAGGTCATGAAATCTTTTAAAAATACAATTAATAATACTTTTTTAATGCAAAGCTATTATTGATGTATTTTATGTTAAAGCAATACATAAGTTTAGATTTGATATGAAAATAAATATTGCATTTATTTCAATTTTGCTGATCTCATCAGGAAATAAAAGTGTGGAGGCTGGACCTGGTCACATATTAGGCAGCTCACTTTATACAGTAGGCCACATTCCAGTCACGCAGAAGTCAGGTTTCTACCAACCCTCCCATCTCCTCATCCAGGCAAGCAAGAAACGATCACAATACAAGGACATATTTCAGTCAAGCAAAAGCACTTAAAGAGAGTAGAGAGCAGGGTGGTGAAGTGTGTGGGGCTACAGAAAATGCTAAAGCGATGGAGGACCACAGTCACACACAGAGAGAGACCCAAGCCCAAGGTTCTTCACCCTTATCTTAACAGTATTGTGAAGGGAGAGGAGAGGTTCAGTGTATGTGCTTCATGAGGAGAAAAACCTCTGGCTCCTGAACTACACAAGAAGGTAAGACTTACTGGCTCCTGAACTACACAAGAAGGTAAGACAGCCTACTACTCCTACTCCTACTGTATATAAGGCACTCAGGTTTGGGACGAGTATTATGTAGCACAGTGGACAAAGGTTTCAGGATGGTTGGATTAAAAAAAACAGTCCTAAGCCATATCTTGAAACTTTTACCCTTGTGGGATGAAGACAGCATTATAAGGCTCCTATTTCAGGCTAGTTGGCATCCCAATGAAGAGCATTCCTGTCAAGGGCTGGCGTTAACATTTTGCTGCAGGTCTCCACTTGTAATTTTATCAGACGCAATATGTTAAATAAACACTTTGCTCAGAGATTAGAAGCCCAGTTCACAACCTATTGCCATACTAAAAAGAGTGTCAAATAAGTATTTTAAAATCAAAACAAAAAACTTTTCTGGATTTGGCCTAAGTTTAATATAATGCTCTGAAGCGCTGGGTTTCTGAAATAAAGGATATATATTATATTCTAATAGGTCTCAAATTCTATTCTTAAATGAAAGGACATGTGGCAATCTTAACAGAATGCTAGCTGCTCTCTTGCAGTCAAAGCTACTTGAACAGCATCAAGTTGGTTTAGTGGAGACAGGTACATTTTCACAGGTACTTGTGACAGCAGACTGGCTATTGGGTTTTACATAAACAGTTTAATTACATGACTGGGCCTTCAGCCAGTCTTCAGAAAGTTGACTCAAACTGGAAACAAAGTCTGAACCAAGGCAGATAGATCTGCATGAGTCAAGAGCTTAATCAGTGTCTCCCACATTTCAGAATTGTGTTTATTAGATTAAAATCTCAAGAAGTGACCCACCCACCCAATTGCTAGCATACAAAAGAAGTTGCAGCCAGTGATTTCTGTTCTTTGCCACTGAGATTAGGGTTTCAAAAACAGTGGATGTTCATTATTTTTCTATGAAGTTGTGATACTCTGAATGGGAAGACAGGACATTGCCTCTTGTCAAATTCCCCCAGTATTTACCTAGACACATGCAATCAATATTAATCTAGCCTATTATTAGTCTAGATTGATTAATATTAATATTAATATTAATCAATACTAATATTAATCAATCTAGACTAATAGTCCTATAATAAATCCTATAATAAATATAACTACCTATCATCAGGATAGACCCAATTCACACATGCATCACTAGATAATATGTAAATGATACCTTGATGCTACAATGATATAGGACTATGTAAGTAAAAAGTCATTAGAAAAGAAGGAATGTTTGCAACATGTTGTAGTGATTGTGAGTAAGAATCAGGGGTGGATGGCCATTATTCCATGTTAAATAATCCAGATCAAGATGTGCATTCTTAAGCATTCCTTGCAAGCACTCTAGTGTTCTTGCACAACACCCTTACCCTTCTTTAACCCAGATTACTCACCTTGAGGTAACTTGTGCCCTTTGATTCATCTACACAACCATTAACATTTAAGAAAGTGCTTCATTTCTAAACTGCCAGGAATCAAAATTGCTTGGAAGCGCAGCACTGACCTAGAGTCCATATTGCCTAATCTTACACACCTGCAGGATTATGTGTGTGAGAGGGTGGGGGGAGGGGGGAGAAACACCTCATATGCTCAGTGCCATTACTGTTTATCCTACGTTGAGAACCTTACTCCTGGGGCTGAGCCTTAAGCTCAAGACCAATACTGAGAAAGAGGGCAGTGGAGTAGAGTGGCCAGAGCCAGGTTTCCCATAAGCATGCAGTTGGCCACTGTGGGAACAGGGTGCTGGATTAGTCGGGCAATGGGCTGATCCAGTGTGGCTCTTATGTTATTATGGAGTGATGCACATTCCATCATCTGAAGGCAGCCCTGTTTAGGGAAGTTTTTAATGTTTGATGTTTTATCGTGTTTTTAATATTCTGTTGGGAGCTGCCCAGAGTTGCTGGGGAAACCCAGCCAGATGGGCAGGGTATAATAATTTATTTATTTATTATTTATTATTATTATTATCCCACCCAGCCCACTGGATGGTCACTCCCCGCCTAACCCACCTCACAAGGCCGTTGCGGGGATCAACCAGACCGAGTACGTTGCTCTTCCGGGTTCCTTGGATGAATAACTAAATATCACATACGCACACTTTCTCTCTCTCGCACCCCTTTACAGGTCTATACAGCGCTGGCCTTGCACCGACGTCCATCAACGTGAGGCACCTAGGCGCTCCGTCAGGGACGTGCGCCTCCTCCGCCACTCACCCCACCTCAGCCGCTCAGCCTTTGGCCAAAGGCAACTGACCACCCGGTCCCAGGCTCCACAGACCCGGCCCGCTGTGGGACGCGCCAGGTGGCCGAGGCCCAGACCCTCGCATACTCACCGCTTCACGACGCCCGTTTTAATTTTGATCTGCCGGACGCGAGGGTCTGCCATAGCGCGAGCTCTGTGGGTGGTGGAGGCGGCGGCGGCGGTAGCGACGGCGGCGGTTGGCAGGGGCGGGAGCAGCAAGCCAACCGAAAAGACAACAACGGCTACGCAGCGAGGCCAGCGGATCGCGCAAAAAGTACGCATGCGCGAAACGCCGCCTCGCTCCCGACGTAAACTCCGCCCCGTAGTGGACTGTACCATTAGGGTGTATAGGGGGGAGAGGGGACAGTTAAAGGAGGGGTTCATAATTTAGGGCGGGAAATAAGTGGAGCTGTTTCGCTGCTTCAAGTCCTGTCATGTCCATAGATGAGGAAAGAGGCTATAATCGCTGTTTTTTTGTCCGCCACAAATTTGCTATGGCTGAAGGAGAAGGAGCGTTAGTCAACGCGTGCCTGAAAGGCCACCTCACGGTACAAACTCCTCATACAAACGTAGCTCTTTCTCTTGTTTTCCGTTATGCTTTGTGATGTTCTGACGTTAATAACCTTGTCGCCGCCCACAGTGAGGGTTCTAACACACCACGTTAAAAAAAAGGTTCATAAGTTTATTGTTTTAGCCAAACGCCATGACAAAATAGTAGCAGTAGTATTAATAAAATAATGCAGAACTCAACTTCCATAATATAAGTAGACACCCACGATTTAAAAGAGAATGCAGCTTTAATTCCAAAAGCGTAAATTCGTTCCTTACCAGGATCCCAAATGCTTCAGGTGTACTGTTGTTGCTCAGGGGTATTTTTTCCAAATTCACAAAGCTACATTCATACAAATAGTTACTTCAGCTTAGAAACCCACTGCAAGTTCCTTAAGACTCTTTAATTCCTGGACAATTCACACTGAAATTGTGTGAGTCACTAGTAGGCCTCACACAATGCAATCCTGTGTATGTTTACTTGGAAGTAACTCCCAAGTAACTATGTTCAGTAAAACTAGCTCCCAGGTAATGTGTGTAGGATTGCAGCTATACGGAGCATTCCTGCACAGTACTCTGCTAATGTAGGAGCCAACTTACACTGTTGCAGTTGGCACAAATTAACAGTAGGATTGTACAGTACCTTGAATGAATGAGGCAACAGGTATCCAATCGTAAGAAACTCTGTATCTGTAGTGACCTCTGCTTACAAAAGCCACCACTTTGTGTTTGGAAATGTTATTTCCAGCTTATACCTTTCCTGTGCTCACAATAGGCTGAGGCCATCTTTAATGGGGAGAAATACAGGGTGGCATTCTGATGGCACCAGTGTTGTGTGAAAGCTGGAAAAAAGGTGAGCCCCACTTTCACAACAAACCCCCATCTAGAAGTACCCCCAGAGTCCATCAAATGTCCAGCAAGGTATCAGTAAAGCTGATGTCTCAAGAAGAAGATAATGTAGAAGATTTGTTATTAATATGCCTGAGAAGGGCTTTAAAGTGAAAAATGAACAGACATGTAGGACTCCTGTTTATAGAGGAACTCCTGTTTGAAGAGGAGCAAAACAGGATTACTTGTGTGACTTGGCTGGGTGCCTCACATGAAAGCAGTTGGCCAGATGTAGTTTAGATTTAAGATTTGCAAGCATTGTGTATAAAACTTCCCCGTGTTGTTTATATTCTGGGGGAGGAAAATCATAAGAACATAAGAGGAGACCTGCTGGATCAGACCAAACCATATCTAGTACAGCAGGGATAACTAACAAGGTGCCCTTCAGATGTCATTGAACTCCAGCTCTCATCAGCCCCAGCCAATATAGCCAATCATCAGGGATGATTGGGGTTACAATCCAACTACTTCTGGAAGTCAGTGCACTGGCTGCCCTGTAGTATATCATCATTTTTCCCCAGAGGGACCAACCAGATGCCTCTGGGAAGTCCACAAACAGGACACCATCGTCATCATTATGTCATTTTGCTCACATAGTGACCCAAAGTGACTTGCATTAAAAACAGTTAAGAACAACTATGAAACCTCAGCGCCTAGGGCTTGCCGATCGCATGGTCGGCGGTTCGAATCCCCACGGCGGGGTGAGCTCCCATCTTTCGGTCCCAGCTCCTGCCCACCTAGCAGTTCGAAAGCACCCCTAAGTGCAAGTAGATAAATAGGTACCGCTTTATAGTGGGAAGGTAAATGGCGTTTCCGTGTGCTGCGCTGGTGCTGGCTCGCCAGAGCAGCTTTGTCACGCTGGCCACGTGACCCGGAAGTGTCTCCGGACAGCGCTGGCCCCCGGCCTCTTAAGTGAGATGGGCGCACAACCCTAGAGTCGGACACGACTGGCCCGTACGGGCAGGGGTACCTTTACCTTTATGAAAGCCTAAAAGCACAGCTATATAAATAAAAGGCAGGACTTCAAATCCCACCTCAGTAAAACAGGCCACAATGTTGCCAAGGTCCATGTAAAGAGAAAAGGTTTGGGCCAGTGCTTAAAACTAGATAACTATGGTGCCAGGTATGCCTCCATGGGGAAAGCGTCCCATAAGCATAAGGCCACCACTGAAAAGGACATGAGGGCAAGAGTCTTTCGCCTTGTTGTTCAGAACCATGCTACTTCTGTTCTTGGAGCATTAATGACTAAGATCCATTGATAACCTTATATTCCATGAATTTGCTTAATTCCCTGCTTTACAGTATTGTTGTAACAAATGCTTTGAATATTCTAAAACAGACATGGCCAGACTTCAGGCTTATGGGATATATCTTTCTTTCTTTCTTTTACTTTTTCTAACTGAAATCAAGTGCAAAATGGTGGCAGGAAGCTATTTATTTATTTTTAAAGTATATCTTGTCTTTCATCCTCCCAAGCAGTTTAACTACCAACCACACTCCACAAAGTGTATACTGGAGTACCTGTATATACAAGTACAAATCTGTGACTTAATACTGAACTACAAATCAAGGATTCCACTAGCCTAAAATAAGTGTGTGTGTGGGGGGGGCATTTTGGTTCTTTCTTCAATGATTGGAAGTCAGAAGCCATTGTCAATCTACTGTAAATTATCCAGTGATCTACCAGTAGACTCCAATCTACCTTCTTCTCACCCTTGCTCTGAAGCAGTAGAAAACTGCTACATATTACTTACCTTCCTATACTATATAACAATTTGGAACCATCATGATTGTGAAACCTGCACAGCATCACAGGTTGTACCTTCCAGTCTTTTCCATCTATATTGAAATTATGTTCACCTTTTCTCTGCCTTTCTTTCACTGCTCAGTCAGAGCTTTCCTTACAGAAACATCTAGGTCAGTAATCATGGAAACATTACACTAACATACTCTTTAATATATTATTTTCTCAGTGGCAACAAGACAAAATGACGGTATAGTTTAGTATTCCTCTACCTTGCCAGAAATCTTCCACTGAATTAAAACCTGCATTCTGAAAACAGTCATAAAAGAGCCCTGCCTATCTAGTATAAGCACTCACACTGATTAGCATATAACACTAAACCATCGCCATGGTTTAGCTAGCATAATAAGTGAACACAGCCCAGCAGCTTAACTATGATTCATTTACTGCCAACAAACCATTATCTGTAGTCATGGTTTGTTGTTGGCTTATGAACCTTGATTTGTTTTAAATATAGCTTTGTATTATGTTTGAAGCCAGCAACCTTCCTTTACCATGGTTTGTTTGACCACCCCACTACAAATGCTCACCAAACATACAAGTACTGTAATGAGTAGCTGGAAAATAAGGTAAACTTTGGAAAAACAACTTGTACAACTTAAATAAACCACAGCTTGGTGTTAGGTGTGAACCAAGCCAATGAAAGAGAGAAGATCAAACTACTTAAGACTTCCCTGGCAATATGAAAGACCAGCATAGAATGGCAGCTGTATCCCTTGCTGAAGCATTGGAACAAGTTTTAACCAAGGGTGGGAACTGTAAAAGGAATCTATTCTGGTTCAAGGAAAGCATGTGAAGAAGTTGTGAAAGTAAGAACTTTCCTGAAATCTCAGCTCACCTCCCATGTGGTTCTGTGTTAAATATAGAGATGAAGAGATACAATTACACAAGGTCACTGGAAGCCTACTATGAACTACTCTTTACTGAATCAAAGTACAGTGTGATAAATTTACAGCTTGCCTCTAAATACAACCTATGGCCACTTGTACTGGATAACAGAAGTTACGATGCAGGTGTCAGGTTCCTGCCCTCCCATGCACTTTAAATGTATTAGTTATGATGGGTTATTGTAGGGTCAGATATGCTATGGTTTATCTGTGAGAATTTAAAAAACAACAACATGATGTGTTCAGACCTTCTGGGCTATGTACAGGTGATCCGTCAAAGGGGAAAACTGAAAGTGAAATAAAGTCACACATCCCTTGTGGCTATTGTTGTTTCTTTGTTTTTTACTTTTCCTTTCCCTTCTTGTTCACATGCAGCAGATAAAGTTCTTCCCAAGTCTCCCTTCTTCCTTGGCTCCTCCTTTCCCAAATACCCCTTCTTTCCTGTTTCTCTTTCCCTTCATGCTCTAGTAACTACACCCGTATTCCCTGATAGTGCTGGCTTCTCTGCACCTTGCTTGCTTTCTGCCCCTTTGTTCTACTCCCACCATCTACCCTCCTCTCAGTCTTTTATCTCTCCTGCTTTCTAGGACCTCTTTTCACTCTCCAACCCAGATCTTGTCCCCTTTGTTGGTATCAGGTTGTTGTTTTTAAGTGTATAGTCATGGAATACTTGAGATATTAATGAATAACACTTACAAATTAATTAGGAATTGTGTATAATATTTATTTTAAGCTTTTGTCACTTGCAGAACAAAACAAAATATGTATTCTCCAACTTCTGCTTTGGTAATTAGAATATTCATAGGCAACACAATAATTTGGGAGTTAAGGTTTGCAGGCAATGGGGCAGCCAGATTTTAGCTTTCATCCAGACGAACGTTTATGTAGGCATTTAGGGGGCAATCATATTTCAAGATCTACTGGGATAAGCTATTGAGGATGCAGCATTACAGTGGATCTCCGGCTCAGCTGAGCTCAGCAAGCTTCATGTTGCCAGCTCTGGCTCAACCAAAAATATCCCAGCATAACTTGCTCAGGTGGCTGAACTAAATCTGTCAAGGCTGATATAGGTCTTAACAAGTGGGTGTAAGGGGGCAGGACCAAAGAAAGGGGACTTAGCCTTGATCCTATGTCCATTCAGTTTTGTCATGTGGCGTGGCACTCAGGCATAGAACACTATTTTAAAGACTTATTTTTCCTCTTCCAGGCTTAGGCAGAGCAGCGGCCCCCCCACTTAATGGGGTTTGGCTCTGGTGTAACTTTACCCTGGCTTGCTTTACACCGGCTTCTTGTGCCTAAGATAGCTCCCCAAGCCTCCATAACTGTCGGGTGCTCCTTTGAACACTTTGTTTGTAACGTATTCTTAACCATTTTAATTAATGTTTCCCCCAGTGTGTTTTGGGAATATTGTAGGGAAGCTGTTCAAAGGGAAGCTAGTATATACAGTATACAGATCAGAAGCCAGTTCAGCTCCAATACTTAATTCAGCTTAATTAACTGAAATATGAGTACTTTACAGTATAAATGTGTTCTAGGTTGGACAGCTCACATTTTTTGTTTAAAGTGCTTGCTAAAAGGATTCCCCCTCTGCAGCTCCCACTGCAAACAAGACATTGCAAGGAAAATTTGGAAAGGAAAAAATCACATCCAGAATAAAATTTTATTTTAATGTTTATTCATGGTGTACTTTAAATGCCTGTGGCATTTATCAATGCAACAAGCACAAATTATGAATTATGAATTATGCATAGCTTTTATTTAAAGCTTATGTGATCTACACTGGAACCCTATACATATTTTCTCAAAAGGAAGGCTGTGTATACACCATTTATTCTGGCTCCAGTACACTCCCACCACTGGTGTTTGAAACCATGATGCTAGCCACAATCCTAATTTGTCTTGTAGTTCCTTGAGAAATGCTGGCTTTTAATGTATTTTCCCTCGAACCAGCTTTTTTCGGATTTGAACATGTAAGCTACATTCACTTTGCAGCTTAGCTGAGGTTCGTACATTTATGACAGCTATTATGCATGCACAGATAACAGTTTCATGAACAGAAGTTCAGGAGGGCTTGAAGGTGCAGGGAACCCAAATAAGGAGTGTATATCAGATGATACAGCATGAGATGGGAGTATCTGCTATTCAAAGGGGGGAAAGATTTCTGGGTACACATCAGGAACTATTTTTGGCCTGCAAACCACAAAGTCTGGTGTATAGCTGATTTCCAGGGAATTCAGGTGTCCTTTAGACACTTTCACAGCCTGTCCATGAGCAGCTAATGTACAGGTGGGAGAACATTTAAATGACACAACTACAAAGATGGAGCCAATCGTGTGAGTCTTTTTAATGGAATTGACAATGCTCCTGGCGTGTGTGTGTGTGTGTGTGTGCACGCACACACGCACGCAAGCACACATGCATGCACGCACACCACTTCCGAGGAAAAGACCATTGCACTTGACCCCTGCCCGCAAGCTGGATCATATAAGCCTGAACTCAGTCACAAAGGACTGGATCACAAATAGGCATCTCCCCCATGGTTAGGAGGACATATAAAAGAACATCTAAATTGGCTTCAATCTAAGTTTTTATCTGTAGCATCAGGCTGCATATGTATATTAAGTTATGCCTGTGTTAAAAGACTGGTGATATTTTTGCCCTTTCAATGAGTGTGAGTATAAAGGATCAACATTATTGTTTCCTAGCACGTTTCCAGTTGAGACAAACCCTTAGAAGAGGGTGCAGGGTAGCAGGAGAGAATGGGATTTATGCACACCCATTAAGGAGCAAATGCATCCCTTTGTGGATGATTTACAAAGGGGCCCTACTCACAGATGAAGGGAGATCTGATATAACAATTCATTGTTCTGACACACATTGCAATCATGATGTGCAGTTTTTAATGTATCATGTTACATTAAGCTTAGCCCATGGTCTAATACCGTGTAACATAAATTTCTGTAAAGGGAGAAACATAACATGATGCTGTCTTATAAAAGACACACACTATTTTTTCAGTTCACATCCCTTTTCTCCATGAATGCCCAATCTGAAAATCAAGGTGACAGACAAAAGTGGAGTGAATGAGCATCCACAAACCAGCATATTTTTCTTGGGTAGTTTTGCTCATTCTCACCTGTAGTCAATGACTCCAGTCAGTTTTTATGTTGCAATGCATGAGCAAAGTTGATGGACATATTTTTTGGTCACCCCTAGTTAGATTTTATTCAGGGTCAACCAAGAGGAACCTAACAAGGATTAAGACTGTAAAATACACTGGAATTAATCTCAGAAGTGTTTTCTCCACAATGCAGAAATGTATATTTCTAGAGAAGTTGCACCCTTTTTAAGATTATGCCTTTTGTTCTTATAGCAGATGTTTTACATAGTATTTTAAATCCTTTACAAAGTACAAAAGTTTTAAAGATGTGGCAGAGCTAAAAGTGGCACTCTGACCCCTGAAACACCATTAGAGTGACATTAGAATAAAAATCTGCATGATAATTGGGTAAAGTGAGATGGCAATATGGTTGAAATTTTTTTAAGCCTTCATAAATCCCACCCAAATTACTGCATAATAAAGGAGACAGCCTATTCTATGAATGTTTTAAGTCAGACTACATGAATAGGAGAAGGAAGGCCCTGAGGTCAGACCTTGGGGTGAGCGCTGCTCTGTAGGGCAGCTGTGTCCTACAACATTGTTTTAGGACAAAAATTGCTTTGCTAAAATGGCTCCTCATTCTGGCCTTAGAATGCCTCATCATAAGCTGCTCAATCTTTCTCCCCTTTAGCTGACAAAAGATTTCCTGCATTGCAGGGGGTTAGATGACCCTCGAGATCCCTTCCAACTCTACAATTCTCTGGTTTCATGGGGGTGGCAATGAAGGAGGTAAAGAGTGGCACAGAGAGAGAGAATGGAGTGGCACACTGCCTGCCACTGGTTATAGATCCACCAACTGCCATTGTGCAACCTCCAACACGTTACCCCATAAGAATTTTGGCCTTCAACAGGTAAAATAGATCCTTCATATCTGTTCAAGGGAGTAAACACGAAACCAACAAATCCATGGTTATAAAGCCAAAGTGCAGGTGGAAGAGAGGGGTTCTTGCTGGACACCCAGCTTCACTAGCCTGCCAGCAGATACATTTATATTTTCTCTAAACTCCTTATGAAGTGTGTTTAACTGTCCTGATCCCTCCATGGATTCCATTCAATCTCCTGTCCCAGAAGTGACACGCATCAGAACTGGTGTGTTTTATCTGTATTAGTTTACAGCTACTCACTTTTTCTAAGGGTTCAGTTTGGCATACACAGGTGGGAAATAGCACACCAACTATGGCTGTGGCCTCATTATACTGATGATAAACCAGTTTGGGCAAATTGAAGGCAGTGGAACTAGCGCCTAAACCCTAAAGACCCATGTCTTCATATACTGGTCAGTAATATGATTATAAGATCTTCACGCTGCTAACATAACAATTTTTGTGTTGATCCCTGGCATGGCTATTCGTATCCTTCAGCTTATACACTCATGTGCTGGCACAACAACTCTTAGAATCAACATACAGTGGTACCTTGGTTTCCAAACAGCTTAATTGTCGAACAAATCAGCTCCCGAACGCCGCAAACCTGGAAGCAAGTGTTCTGGTTTGCAAACGTTTTCAGAAGCCAAACATCTGACGCAGCTTCTGCGGCTTCCACTTGAGTGCAGGAAGCTCCTGCAGCCAATCGGAAACCACACCTTGGTTTTTGAATGGTTTCGGGAGTCGAACGGACTCCCGGAACAGATTAAGTTTGAGAACCAAGGTACCACTGTACTGACCTGTTGAAGCCAAACATTTAAGCTAAGCCGCTTTATAAGTGGAAAGATGTGTATAAGGAAGCCACACAATTGTAGAGTTGCTGGAATTGTAGAGTAAGGCGTTTTAGGATTCCACTTCACAATGTAATTAGCCTATGCAATAGTATGTCAGGAATTGGCAGGGCTCCGGAGTGTGTTGTGAGACCAAGGGACCAGGGGAGTGACCAAGGAGAGGGGACCAGTTATTTATGGGGTGTCATGCCAACCGCAAGGAGGAGCTAGGGGAGGAGGGAGAGTCAGAGCAGTCTGAGGCGGAGGAAGGCATGCAGGATGTGGTGGAGGAATAAGCTACGGTTCAGGCAAGCAACAGGTCTGTAGATTCCCTCTCCCCTCAACCAATCTCGTAGAACCAGGAGGGGCTTGAAGAGGGAAAAGCAGTGACAACTTCCTGCAGAAGAAGTCTCAGGTTGCGGGCGTGCAACCCATCAGAGGAGGGGAAGCGCCCCACTGTTGCTGCAACTGCTCCATAAGGCCCAGATCTGTGAACAGTTGCCTAAAGCAGGGATCAGCAAACCTTTTCGTCAGGGGGCCGGTCCACTGTCCCTCAGACCTTGTGGGGGGCCGGGCTATATTTTGGGGGGTGGGGGATGCAAGAGCACCACGAACCCCGGTGGCTGCTTATCTGCGTCTTGCAAGCGGCAGGGACTGGCGGCAGCAGGGGGATGATGAGTGGTGCACGAAAGGGCTCCAGAGAGAGGCTGCTTAAAATGGCAGTTGCTCGAGCACTGCTACTGCTGGCACCAACAAAGCCCAGCCCCCTTCCTCCTCTAGGCAGGGCAGGGAAAAGTCAGGAGGAGAGGGAGGAGGCACCGGCGCCGCCGTGTGAGGGAGAGGGAAAGAACGTGCGTGCTGGCAATCCAAGCAGTGATTCCCGGACCGGCTGTCCCTGGGCCGGATCCAGAAGGCAATTGGGCCTGATCCAGCCCACAGGCCTTAGTTTGCCTACCCATGGTCTAAAGGCTAGAAGTGTGTGTGCCCAGAGCACTGTGGAAGCTGCTATAAGTGTGTCTCTTGCCAATAAAGAGTTAACTATCAGATGTGTGTTTTCCTTATCTTGGGCCATGGCAGTGCATTAGTAGAACTGCAAACTTTAGCGTTAAACAAGTACACTGTACACTGGGGATGTATGGAGAACAGAACTCATTGCGTCATCATCCATTAAAATGATTTAAAATTATTCAGGAAAAAACAAGTCACATGTGCAGACCCTAAATAAATAAAGACACCTGGCAGTATCCAGTTAACATGACCCATCAAAACAATGATTTACAGAACTTAGCCCTTTCCTCCCCCTGTGCACCCCCTAAAACCTATATTAGGGGTTCCCCCAATCCTCTGGACATGGGCCATACAGGGGTAGGAGAGGGGGAAACTTATATTGTATAAGCAAGTAGCAAAGCATGCTTTGTGTTTGTTTGGCGTTTTCCTTTTTAGTGTGGCATGTTTGACAGTAAAATTTGCAATGGGAAAATCTGCTTTTTTCAACAACAAAAAAGCCCATAGAGTTCACCCAACCTTTTAAAAATATTTTGATTCAGTGAGCTCCTACTAGACTTTTCTCCATCTTGATGGAAAATTGTATAATAATGATGTGATAATATTTTGATAATGGTGCTTTGTTATTTTTGGTTCTGTAAACCATTTCTCAAATTCAGCCAGCGCACCCCTTAGGGTTCCGGTTCCACTGTTTACAAAATGCTTTAAGTGCAAAGACTGAGGATTATCATGATTCATTCCATGCTTGATGTCATATTGGCTCACACAATAGCTGCCTTTGATTATATCTATAAATCTCACCATACCATATTTCATCCATAGAGAGGTCTTATTTGCAATGCTAAACCTGTCATTAAAGATGAATGAAGTCAGTTGTGATATGGATAGACACTTTCAGACTTGACAAAATAAAAGGGTTTGTGTACACTATATTTTTTTGCTGTCCAGTGACTCCCAGTCTATAACAATGGTAAATCTTAATATAAAAAAAACCAAGGACTGTACCCATTAAAGTTCAGTCTCATTGCCTAAGAGAGCATAGCCACGTGGCATACCTCCTTTCGCCTTTGTTTCATGCTAAGTAGCTAAAGCTAATTTAAGCTTTTCTCCTTTCCATGTACAATACCAGGTACATTTTAAAAAAAGAAAAAAGAACACCTGCTAACTTATTCAGATATATGTAGAAATTGAAATAAGGATGTGATTCAAAACAAATAAGAATCTAGGAGGAATAGGCACAACTATTACAAATGAGAGCGTTATTACACACATTTCCTGCTTGTGGGTTTCCCAAAAGCATCTGGTTGGCCACTATAAGAACAGAATGCTGAACTACACAGGCCTTTGGACTGAACCAGAAGGATTCTTCTTATGTTCATCTATTTATTTCTTCTTTAATCTCATGCTGCTGCTGAGTATAACATCCTTTAATGAATATCCTGTGTAGATCAAGTCAAATTACATTGTCTCTTTACATCATATTAAGATCTAGTAACTCAGTTTTGGATTTACCATTTTAGTACCCAGTACTATATAAGTCAGTGCAATATAACACTTCAGGTCATGATTCTTCAGGACTTGACAAGAATCACATAATCTTATCTTGCAGATATAGAAGCCACTGACAGTGCTCAATGGGAAACTGGAAGCAACATCAATATATCTTTTGAAGGTTGACCATTCAATTCACAGTAGCGTGCAGATGGGCTTTTAACGTGTTCATTTTAAAGTCATTTTGGCTCTGGTGTGTTACTGTAATAGGGAATGTTCCATATTCTACATTCTGAAGTTGACAACAAATAAAATATTAAAGAACATTTCCTTATAATAATATGATATTAACAACTGCACAAATTTTGTATGTATGCATGTAAACTATTTTGTAAGCAAAGTTGTTACCTCTCTTGAATATATATTTAACAAGCACCAGCTAATAAATGAATGTGAGGTGGTTAATCAACTTAAAATATTTTCTCATCTTTCAGTTCTTTTTTTAAGACAGAGGATGCAAACCCTCAAACAGGATTGGTTCATAACCTCCATTCTTCCCAATGCAAACTGGAACACAAACAAGTACTTCACACTGAAATGAATGGAGGATGCACAGCAAACAGCAGTTAATGAATTGCACTTGTATTTTTTCTTGTGGCTATTTTTAAATAATTAACTACCTAAATGCCATGTTTGCCTTTGACAACTTGACCCTTGGCCATTAAATAATAAAGCAACCATTATCTTCATTTTTATTCTAATTTTCTCTGCAGATAACCTGATTGGTGTGATATTGAACAAAGCAGTCTTGAAAGCATAAGGGTATCAGTAGCCATCTGTGTGGGTTTGACTGATCACATGCTTGAATGCAAAGTTTAAATACTGGCAAAATGATTCCTCCCTTTTTGGCTTCATGAAATCTGTGCAAAAGACTGTCTACCCAGGCTGATATTTTCTAACGAAGAAACAACTTCTGCCGGTGCTTAGAAGACAGGAACATGTTGCCAATTTCATACATATAGGGGATGCAGTCCAGTTTCTGTATGAACCACTCAAGTTAATGCTGCTCTAGTGTCATGTGATGCCCAGAAAACAAGGAATAAATTAATAAAATTAATAAGAAATAATAGAATCTGTATCTACTTAAGCAGACACACTGAAATTAATGGGCATGGTAACTTAGGGCTATTAATGTCAATGGGTCTAACTCTGAGTAGAATTTTGTTGGATACCTCAGTAGAAATCTGCAGCCAGAGAGATGGCAGTTTATTTTGAATCAATGTATGAAACTGAGGCCTCCTCTCCCCTCCTTCATATAGCTCCACCCATCCTGACAGGCTATTAAGGTTTTGTTTTCTAAAAGCCCTCTTGGCCGGTCCCCCAACCCTCAGATTCCCAAGTATCCACTAGAGATGGGGGAGAAATTCAATTCCTCTTGCATTTAAAGGAAAACTGAGCAAATCCACATTTTCTGGAACAATATGCAAAATGATACACAATTATCCTTTGAAATTTGCACTTATCTGAATTTTGCAATGCAGTTCTCCAGCCGTGCAATATGTTCAAAAATGCACAGCTCTACCTCCTCTCCTTTGCATAGGAGCCCTGTATTAGTGATATAAAACTTACCAGCATGGGATGAAGGGTTGCTGTAAATCCAGCGTTAGGACTTCCTGTACCCGCATTACAAACTAGACTTGGCTGCTTGTTCCTCTTGTTTTATGACATTAAAATACTTACAGCAGTCCAAATTAAGAGTGATTACATATGTGATCCAAACATATCCCTGAGTGGACAGGAATTGAAACTTGGGAGAGCACCCTAAAAAAAATCACAATGCAGGGTGTTCAAGTGTGTAAGTGTTGCTTCTGACATACCCAACTGCAAAGAAATGGTTTTTAAAAAATGTGTATGCAGAATTAGGATGGCCTCAGCGATGCAATTTTTAAAAGGTGGCTCTTGTTTTTTACTTTGGCTTTTGACAGTCTGTGAACATTTTTCTTTTCTCTTTCATCCTGTTCCCTTTTTCTCGTCATCAGGATGACTAAAGGGCTAAAGTTTTAGTGGAAGAGTGCATGAATAAGAATGAGAAGTATACATGGCACTTCAAAAATTACTTCCTAAGATGCTTTTCTAAGGCTAGAAGGCTGACCTTTAGCCATCAAAGACTTCTAAAAGGACTAAAGTAAACATTTAATGGAAGTGGAGCAATAATGGGGCATCATTCCAATAAGTACGCTGTGCTCCTCTACAGCTAGTTTTACAGTAATGCTGTTACTTAAGTATTTATAGGTTTCTCAAACAGCTAAGAAGAGGGAAAAGGTGCATTTAAGGGAACTGGCTAGTCAGCAACAGAGAAAATATACTATAGATTACAATAAAACGAAATGAAGCACAGAGATGTTTCCCCCCGTGGCATATTCTCCATACACATTCCTCTTTGCTGTTAAAAGCCATGACCCAGAGAGCTGTGAGTGAGGGGAAAATAACCTCACAGAATCACAGAATTGTAGAGTTGGAAGGGACCCCAAGGATCATCTAGTCCAACCCCCTGCAATGCAAGAATATGCAGCTGTCCCATATGGGGCTCGAACCTGCAACCTTGGTGTTATCAGCATCACGCTGTAACCAACTACCACTACAAGGTGTAGTGATGGCCACTAGATTAGATGGCTTTTTTAAAAGCTACACAGGTTTATGGAGAGTAAGTCTGTCCACAACTATTAGCAATGCCAGCTACATGGTGCCTCTAAGTACAGAGGCAGTATACCTCTGAAAACAAAATGCTGGTGTGGTAAATATTTGAAGTGCAGGATTTAATCACGATGACAGCTACAGCCACACCCCATACACATACATAATATGTAATATACACACATACAGTAAACCTTCGACTTGCATGTATTTAACTTGTGCATTCAATTTTACATGCTTGGTGTGTATAGTTTTTTCTTGTTTCCTTATGAAGCCAAACTCTATTACGTTATTTTTCAGCCTATCTCTTCATCTGGATTCTATACACTGCATCCTGGATTCATCTCTCAACTCTTCTCTGAGCTCTTCCTCTGGTCCTCTACTTGGATAGTTGGCTATAATCTTTTTGTTCCTCTTTCTTTACTTAACCTTTAGAATAAATTGCTGGTTGAAATTCTAGGTGGTAAATCAAAGTAGACTCAAATAACAGTTAAGATTGCTTCTAGTTTTTATACCATAATAATTGTTTGTAATAGTCATTTATCTGATATTTCACATTTTTTTAGAGTTAAGTTAAAAGCTAAATTGTAGTTAATCTCAATATTAAGCAATATGATCTTTGCAGAGAACAGCTAACAGCTATTCCATCTCATGCCTTAATACTGCATATTCATATCCTGTTTGTCATGTAATCAGTATATTTTATATTTGCCTGCATGTAGTGTTCCTTATACTTTTCCTTCTCCAGTGTTCATTTATGTATAATGCGCTTTTAATTTTCCTTTAACATTCTTTGTGGACTATAGTTGCACCTTTCATAACTGAAGTGCATTCACTGCTTTTGTGCTAATGCATTTAAAATTCATTTTTCAAACTGATTTCAGCTGTTGGTCATCTCTGATCACAACCTTCTTGCCCGCTGGAGCAAATTAAGGACCTCATTTTCATGTACCACTCCAGGAGAGGGGGGAACACACCAGGCCAATATTGCCTTACTGCCCCTTGGTGGGTTTTCGGGAGGGACTTGACCAGTTACTGTGGGAAGCAGAATAGACCTTTGGTCCAATCTAGCAGAACCTTTCTTAGGTTATAAATGTATATGCACAAACATTAGCATGAGAAAACCATGTCAGTTTGACAGAAAAGATCCATTTGTCGTATTAGGAATAATGAAAAAATGTGAAAGGAACCAAAACTTACTTTCAGGAGGAAGGCCAACTAGGGCCTCTGACATTAGGAAGAAGTGTATATTTGAAGAACACTAAACTCTCTACTCAAGCTATGGATATTTCTGCCATCTGTTAAGATAAACAAAGTAGTCTTCCTAACCAACATTTGAGGACTCTCTTTTAGATCCTCTCCCTCTTTGGTGTTATCTGATGTTTTTCCTCCTGCCTGTTTTTGAATGCTTTATATGAATACTGCATTACCCAGTCCTGAATAGAGATTAGTTGCTGGTTATGCCCTCCTGTATATGTCTAGTCAGGGATGCGGGTGGCGCTGTGGGTTAAACCACAGAGCCTAGGACTTGCCGATCAGAAGGTTGGCGGTTTGAATCCCCGTGACGGGGTGAACTCCCGTTGTTCAGTCCCTGCTCCTGCCAACCTAGCAGTTCAAAAGCATGTCAAAGTGCAAGTAGATAAATAGGTACCGCTCCGGTGGGAAGGTAAACGGCATTTCCGTGCGCTGCTCTGGTTCGCCAGAAGCTGGCCACATGATCCGGAAGCTGTACGCTGGCTCCCTCGGCCAATAAAGCAAGATGAGTGCCGCAACCCCAGAGTCGGTCACGACTGGACCTAATGGTCAGGGGTCCCTTTACCTTTACCTTTATATGTCAAGTCAGAATTCCCATTAACTGCAATGGGACCCACTTTCACATAGGTGTGTATAGAATTGAAACCCCTCTGTAATTTGGTTTTCAGCAGAACCTAAACTAGGAGCTCAGATTATGCAGAGAAGTGCATAGGAGGAGCTTTAGAGCTGCACATCATTTAGCCAGAAATACAACTCAGTTTCTTTAGGCAACCCATGCCGTGGGGGTTTTCAATAATTATTTTTCCAACAACAGACTCCTATAGCGTATCAGAAACCTTTTGCCTTGTAGCACAGAGGTTTGCTGTTCAAGAAGTTTGGCAGACAGTTGGGTCCTGACTTTTAATTTAGTATTATCATAATACCTTGTTGATACTTCAGAAGTTCATAGGATTTAATTCCTTTGTGTGATACATCAACAGCTTCATTATGAGGGGTAGGGGTGACATTTAATATTTAGGATCACCTACTATAAGATTTGTAAAAGAAAGAAAAAGGATTGTGCAATACAGGTTTAAAGGAATTTAGTAAATAGAATGCAGCTCTTCTGCCCAGTTCCATTGCTAGAACGTTGGTACAATTCCATCTATTTCATCAGAGTTGTGCCAACATAACACTGGTGATTAATTTCACTACTTACCCCGCTGAAAGCTGCAATGCTTCATTTTTTGTACATTAATAATACGCTTGTCATTAGGCCTATTTTACAAAATATATTTTCATTGTTAATATACATTCAAAGTTTTGAA